TCTGGCAATAAATTTAAGGGAAGCGTCCGATATATATGTTTAAATACATAGTATACTTTATATAATGTTGCTCCCGATCTTGAATTTATCATTGGCTGGCCGAAAGCAACTGATGTTACTTTCCCGCCCACCGGCGGTTGTTTTTACGTCGCTTTGGGCTAAGGCTAACATCACACGTAGAGGTTTTTTCCCGCAGCCGCCGCGGGTGGCCACTGAATTCTTTTATTCCAAAACTCACGAGACCGCAGTCTCCTGCAGCCCCGCCAGGCGAAACTCGCAGCGACGCGCGACGAGCAGAGGTGCCGCAAAATCGCGACATGAGTTTTGCTCTTGCGTTTTACAAACAATTTCACATCCACTCGAGTTACGGTCAAGGAACTAATACAATATAATTATACATATTACAAACAGAAAAAATTCCAGATTAATCTCAAGGATCCAGAAATGTAAGTAAGCCTTAAGACTAGGTCTTGACCAAGACCAACAGTCTTATTTCAAAACCATAGGTAACCGATTTTCTTCCATAAGACTGATGATGGCTTTTGCAGTAGTTTAAACCTACAAATCGAATACTGAGATGTAGAAACGGTCTTCCTGAATGATCTCAAAGATGAGATCTTCATGTAGTAACCTGAAGGGTTAACACTGAGCCACAAGTTAAAGTTAACAAGGAACTCAAAAAGTTACTATGGACTCAAACAAGCTCCGCAGCAGTGGAACAAAATGGTATGTGAGGCAATCGTCAGTCTATCATTTAGTGTTGCCGCACTCGGGCCACCGGCCACAACCACAAAACGCCGCCACCGGCATATTTCTTGTAGTTTTCATACATTTTATATGGACTCGCCACACACGGTACGCCGATGGCCGCCATACGCTACAAATCGTCGTTGCTCGCTTCTTGTGGCCCGCACCGGCCACTTAATGCGCCGATACAAAACGCCGTCACACGTCACTCGCGCGATTCCCCACCCCTCTCTCCCTTACCTTAGTCGATTTAGTAGCCGCTTCTAGCTTCTCATGGCGGCGTTTGTGGCTGAGGCGTGTGGCCCGTGTGCGGCAACACTTACTCAAGCAGCACCTAAACACTGCATTTACTACAAAAGAGACAGTAGCAAATTTCTCGTAGTAACGATCTTCATTGACAATTTATTCTAGTCATGCCATGAAGAAACAGTATTAAACTGAACTAAAAAAGAAGTTCATCGTCAAATATCTACTACCAGTCAAAGATTGTCTTGGAATAAGAATGGTAAAAAGCGATGGCAAAATATCTCTTGATCAAACCAAAACATTGAGAAATTTATCGAGAGGCTTGGCATGTCTGACGGTATACCATTGAAGACACCAATGGAATCTGGCGTTAAGCTCAGACTGTTTTTCGTCGTTTCAAGTCTGTCTTTTGTACGTCTTTCTTATTATATTCAAGTTTAACTCTATATCTTTAAATAAAACTAGCTTTTTACGGGTTAATGCACGAAACTTTATTTATTTATTGACGTTTCGTAGCCTTTACAGGCTACGTCGTCAGAATCTTTATTTATCTTCCACTCTGTTATTACCATTACACCCTATAAGTTAGAACCATCTAATGACGCATTGTAAGTTTTTACTAGATTTAATTGCATATAAGAAGTATATATTATTATGTCGCCTTCACATAATCATAATCAATCATAATCAAAATCATTTATTCAGTTTAGGCTGTTTCAAGCACATATGAATGTCTAGAAGCTATGCCATCGGTTCATAAATCTACGGCGGGAGACCTTGTACTGAGAAGAACCAGCAAGAAACTCAGCAAGGGCTGTTTTTTTTCTCCCTGTTTTATCATTTACAGAGTCGTCAAGTTGAAAAATGACTTCAGAGATGATTCATGAAGTCACCTTTCATTACATAATGTGAAATTATACAATAATTGTTCACCTGCATTTTGATTGCTGTGTCACACAGTATAAATACAAACATAGTTATTTATAATAGGTGTAATTAATCATTAACATCTTAAATATCAAAGTAGTTAGGGCAGACTCATCTCCGCTGGCAGCACCCGTTCACGAGCATGACGCATGAACCAGCCATCGTTTCGCTCAACCATATTTTAGGGAACGTAACGACCCACCTCACACTACACCACCGAAGAGACTTTTAAGAGAGCATGACTACCCATAACCACCTATATCAACCACAACATATTTACTTAAACTTAAAGTCATTTATCTGTAGGACACTGCAAACAATTACAAAGCAAAAACAATGGAGAAATCATGACCACGCCGTTTTGTAATTCAAATCTTCTTAAATAGTCTGATATTCTTCCTTACGTCATCAACTTTAAATACAGCTTTTCAATAGAAGTATCATCAGCACATGATTCATAATATATATCATACAGAAATACCCGTTGGAATGGTTGGAACAGTTCACACCCAAGCATTTTTGTCTGTAATATAATCAGACACTTTTTAATAAGCATTCTTAACGAGAGATTTTTTAATGGTCGATTTAAATTTAGTCAGGCTTAACTCTTGAATATTGCTTGGGACTTCATTGTAAAAACAAACACAGAGGCCTCTAAACGAAATTATTAATTTTGTGGAGCCTAGTAGCAGGTAAAGTTAACTTATTTTTACTTCTAGTATTAAGTGTATGTATTTCACTATTTTTAGTAAATAAACTAATATTTTTTTGACATATACTAAGTTTTCTCATACGCACTTATACGTTGAAAGAGCAATTTTCACCCAGGACCGACGCAACTTTAATAATATTATCACTGTAACGTTTGTAACCAGTGTCACGTCCCAAGGGGAACAAAATCTATTTCAACGTTGCTCGTAAAATGAATCGTATCGGTAGGCCTCCGCGCCGCCCTGTCAATCACTCAGCACCGCGGGATGTGGGGAAGGAGCGTGAAGAAAAACCATTTCATATTTTTTGAGCTTCCTTGAAATGCGGGATAGGTCACAGCGAGGTGCGACAAGCGATTCGGTAAATCGCCAGACGGTTCACGTTGTAAGAAACCAGGCACAATAAATACTCCGTTGTAACAGTGCTTTATTGGATACTAGTGGCCCTCGCTTCGCTTCGATGTAGAGCTGTAGTGTAAACTATAGTTTTTGTTCTCAGGCTTGTGCTATAAAGAATGACTTTATTTATATAATTACACGTGTTATTGTGAGTCAACCATAAAAGATAGACATATGCTGTTGCAAAATATTTTTTAGACAATTTTATGTAGAATATTTCCGTCATACATGATTTCTATGTAACTTTAACCATTAAGGCTGCACCCGCGACGGAAGCTTAAAAATGGAGTAACTTCTTCCGTTTTCCCAACATTTCCCTTCACTACTCTGCTGCTATTGATTGTAGCGTGATGAAAAGTATACTATAACCTGCCCAGAAGTATGAAGAATAATTGTACCAAGTTTCGTTAAAATCCGTTGAGTAGTTTTGGTTTCTATAAGGAACATACACACAGACAGACAGACAGACAAAAATTTTACTGATTGCATTTTTGGCATCAGTATCGATCACTAATCACCCCCTGATAGTTATTTTAAAAATATATTTCATGTACAGAATTGACATCTCTACAGATTTATTATAAGTATAAGTATAGATTATAAGTAGTATTGCGATGTGATGCAATACAAACTTTGATAGCATAGGTGTCATGAACGGGTGCTGCCAGATGAGTCTGCCCTAGCTACTTTGATATTATAGATGTAAATGTTTAGTTACACCTAATATATATAACACTATTTGTATTTTTACTGTATGACACAGCAATCAAAATACAGTTGGACTATTAATGTATAATTTCACATTATGTAATGAAAGGTGATTTAATGAATCATCTCTGTAGTCATTTTTCAACTTGACGACTGTAAATAATAAAACAGCCCTTGCTGAGTTTCTTGCCGGTTCTTCTCAGTACAAGGTCTCCCACCGTAGATTTACGAACCGATGGCGTAGCTTCTAGACATGAGTGCTCGTAACATAGGACATTGCAAACAATTTCAAATATAAAGGTAATATAGGAATGACCCACAAATACATCGTAATATTTGTATATTTCATTCTTCGTAGAGCATTACTAATATATAAATTGCTTAACGCTTTTTAGCTCGCTCCTTTCGTCAAGATATCCTCACCCAATCACCGTCACCGATACCAGTATGTTTTTTCCACTCCCGCTGACGTCAGCAGCGGATCTTGCTATTTTTGTATGCTAATGCGTTCCAAGATAATCCTTGACTCAAACTTGCTGAAGGAAATTAAAGTTAAATTTCGTGGAAAAAATTCGTGAGACATTATCTGTAGCTGTATTGGAAAGCAAAAACTTTGCTGATCACGCGAAAGTTGGTGATCGGGATGAAATTGATGTGTAAAGTACTAACCAGTATGGACTGGATGGATAAATATATATTATCCACATCCACTATCAATGCCAATGCTGTAAACAATTTAAAGAATAAGAATATTAATGGTTATTATCAATGGTTGTTGTTAATATAGAAAATTATAACCTCTGAAGACAATGGCTGTATGGGCTTAGATCCCCTTGCCTTCCCTGAGTAGGGAAAAACAAACAAAAAAAATATCTATGGTTGAGTAGTCCATGGTTGTCATGTTTCTCTTATGAAAAAAGTTTATAGTCTGTGTTGCGTAACATCAAACTCAGGTAAATCCACTAATCATTTTGTTGTGAGATTTTGATATGTCCAAAAAGTAAAAAAAAAAATATTTTAAACTATTTGAACAAATATGGGCAAATCCTCATGTTTGCTATAGAAATACGTGGATGAAATCGAGGTATTTTATCGAACGAAAGTAAATCCTACGAATCGTTTTTTTCGATTGGAGATAAATCCTTCCGAACCAATGAGGGAGCTGTATAATTCAACATGGCCGTCAGTTTGTCATTTTCTTGTCGAGTGAACGTTATTGCGTCCCCAGAATTCCTTAATTTATTAAAACAATCAGTCAAATCAATGGATAACTCTTTGAAAATTGTGTCGCCAAGTAAGGCCCGTAAACGATCCAACAAAAAGATTAAAGAAAAGAAACAAGAAAAAGCGAGAAAACTGTAAGTATTATAAACACCTCTATGTTTCACATTAGATTGTAACTAGGGTTGTGCAAGTGATGATGATCGATATTATACTAAGATTGTAATGAAAATTGAATTTTTTATGGATGTAGCTTGATGATTAAGTAAAACGAGGACAGTGTTATTATTTTAAAATTAACGAATGTCATTATTCTATTTATTTTATATAGATTATTTTATTAATGTTACAGATTACAGCGATTTACTATTGTTAAGGTGATAATGAAATGGTATAAACTAATGGTAACTATTGGTGTGATTGTATTTTCAATTTTGCACCTATTTTGTATTAACTGGTGATGGTGAAGTTAATGTATTGTGTGTATGCTTAAACCACTAACACTGTATTTATTTTTTGTTGCATCGGTAAATAGTACGTTACTGCAGCGACCAGCAAAAGAGGTATTGATAGACGAACGTGTAAATACGTAAATCCATCAATGCCTAGTTGTGACCAAGGCTTTCTATAGCTTTTTTCTCAATTAATGTGCGGAAATAAAATTACTTTTCGAAGTCAAAGACGAACAACAATATTTTTTCCCGCGTTAAAGTGTTCTTTGTTTTTAATAAACGCTTTCTTATTGCAATCCAGTTCTAAATTTAAATAAATGGTGCTCGCATGTATTTAGCCAGTACAGCAATTTCTAATTATCTTGAAGAAGGTTGTCAAAGTAATGCTCAAAGCATGTTTGAAAAAAATATAATCACTACCCAAGTTGAGCTTTATGTCTATCTTCTTTTTAATAAATTATACACGATTTTAAATAATTTTAGACTAGCATTCTATTTATTTTCAGCATTTCAGGAGTAATTTTTCAAAAGAGTTTAAATTATTTTCATTTGTGTCTTAGTCGTGTTTTTTTTGTTTAATAAATATTCTTTCTTTCTATTTTATAATACTGCACGATCTAAGCGTCAATCAACTAAGGCTAAAAATTAATAAGGTTTTTTACTTCATTATTATTAATGCTGTGGCAGAGTGGCATGTTTAACGAGGTATGTAGAAAATGAGTAAAGTACTTTTTTTTCAGATATTCTAGTAACCGACCACCAACGAAACCCATATGCAAGCACAATACAAAAGCTTATCAATGTGCAAATCTCAATTCTAATGATGTTCTCCTCTTCTATAGAACATTTTACAAAACAAGCGATAAGATTATTCAGGATAATTTCATACTAAAGTACGTAATATCTACAGTAACACGCAGAAAACGCCCAAAGACCGGAAGTAAACCAGGGAGAAGATTAGCCGCCAAGTATTTTGTTCGCAAAACAAACAAATCATTGATTCCAGTGTGTAAGAAAGCCTTCTTAGGAATTTTAAATTTAAAAAAGGGTAGAGTGGAAGGAGTCATTCGGCGTCATTTTAATACTGGCACTACGGCAGTTGAAAACCGTGGTGGGGATAAAAAAACATTTGCTTTTCGCTCGCGCAAAGAAGCGGTGATTAAATACATTCGGACATTGCAACCTTTAGAAATTCACTATTGCCGTGAAAAGGCTCGGGAGCGACAATACTTACACCCAGAATTAACTATTAAAAAAATTTGGAAAATGTACTGTGACGAAGTAGTTCCAGGATTCGACGTAAGTTTCAGTTTCTTCCGCAAGGTTTTTGTAACAAATTTCAATATTGGATTTGGCAGTCCCAGACAAGATGTATGTTCAACGTGTCTCCAATTATCTGAAAGAATTAAGGTAGAAAAAGATGCTGCGGAAAAAGTCAGAATTATGACAGAACTGCGAATTCATAAATTGCGTGCAAAGGCGTTTTTTAAACTTCTTCAAAAAGAAGAAAACCATGAGATCCTCCTATCTTTTGATTGCCAGAAGAATTTGCCGCTTCCTAAAATCCCGGACCAATCTGTATATTACTCCCGTCAGCTCTACTTCTATAATTTTACTATCGTAAAAGGGTCCTCTCACAATACTCTGAATAAAGACAATGTATTTACCTATACATGGACGGAGGAAGTCGCCGCCAAAGGTTCAAACGAAATTTGTTCGGCTGTCATTCATTGCTTGAATAATCTCGATGTGACAAATAAAGAGAAGATACGTCTTATGGCGGACGGGTGTGCGGGGCAAAATAAAAATTCAATTTTATTAGGTGCCACCATGAACTGGCTTTATTCCGCCCCACGAAATATTAAAAGTCTTGAAATAATATTTCCTGTGACGGGCCACTCTTTCCTGCCGGCTGATAGGGTATTCGCTATAACCGAAAAGCGAATTAGAAAGATGGAAACAATTCTAAAACCAGAAGAATATATGAATATATTACAAGAACACGCAACAATTTTTTGTTTAGGCAAAGATGTACCCATTTCCGACTACAAAACGCAAAGTCAAAATATTTTAAAGTCGACTCAAAGTTTTCACTTTCAGATTACAAAGTGTAAAAGGTTTATTATCACCAGAAAAGGGAATCAAGTACAAATACGAGGGGAAATATCTTATCACAGCGATACAGGTGTCGACAAGTCTATCACTAGACGCGGGAAAAGTTTTCAAACGTTCAATCCTGAGACACTTCCAATTGGTATCCCAGTAAAAGAGGCAAAATTGGTTGATGTACGTAAATTGCTAGAAGTTCACTTTGGTGAAAACTGGGCATCATTGTCAGAATTGCAATATTAAAAAAATTAATTAACAATGAAAATGTAATCGCTCGCGTTTTGGAGGAATCTGATAATGATAATGATTCTCAGGAAATTATAAATTTCGTTTAAGAATAAAAATATGATTAATTTTGTAACAATGTTGTTATATAAATAAATAGCTTTTGATTACCGTTATACTTTATTTTATTGATGAATTTCATTGTATTTTATTTTATCAACTATCATAAAAATATACAGTCAGAATCATACTAAACGACCGCAGTATGTATGTAAAATTTTAGTAGCTCTTGTGACAACCCTAACTCTTAAGTGTCAGGGAGTACGATTTTTCACATTAAGGTAAATCCATCCATGTTTTATAAAAATCATGTAAATCCATTACAGTTTTATCCAACGTGGGTAAATTTCGTAGTGTTACTACAAACCGAGGTAAATCCAATCTAAAAATGCAATTTTTGAACAAACAAACAAATTTATCGTCGTGTCTATGCTTTCTAACGGTTTTTTTATTGTCTATGCTCCGTACGTAAAGTTATTTATGATTTCGTATCACAAGTTACGGTGAGAAACGGTTTTTATGAAATATTTTGAAAGCACAAAGAATGGATTTACCCAAGTTCGATGTTTCCCAACTCTCATGTTAGTGCTGTTTTACTGATTTTTCAATCTTTAATAAACCGTAAGTAAAATTTAATAGTTTATGTATTTAATTAACCATCACACAAATCGGCCGAAATTTGATTTTTTCAAGTTTTGACGTAAAAGTTGGTAGTCATGAGTCTAGTATTTCACATGATACGTGTTTAGGTATTTGCGTCGCTAGCGCAGTGGCTAGTGCGATTTGTCTAGGATTATGGGAGTTACTCAACATTGATAAGAGCAGGTAATCAGAAGGGTGGTCAAATCTAGCGCTTACACGGTTTAAACGACAAGTTTAGCCGTTGGTCCTAGCTGCATCTGCTGCAGTCATTTACTCCGTGTTTCTGTTTGTTATTACGTTTCACTCCATGATTTTTTTAAAAAAGGTAAGGCTTGTGCGCCAGCAGCTTAGATCATTTATAGGTTAAAGTTCTATGCCCAGTGGTGAAAACATTATTTTCAGCGTGTTAAATTATCGCTAGTCAAGCTATCGTCTAGTGTCTTTACATACGCAACCCTCTAATGAATAATTAATTCACGAACGCTACTTTTGGCACATTTAGTACTGAAGCTTGTCTTCTGCAAGGTTTTTTTTTTTATATGATTAGGTAGGCAAATGACTCTACCCCACCTGATGTTAAGTAGTGATAAAGTCCAAACGCGAAGATAACTGGTACAGCAGTTATAAACTGCTACACCAACCATCCTCACCTTGCCGGCCCGCAAAAATGCTTCTTCACGCCTCTCTTAAAGGACCCAAGATTATAGGAAGGAGGAAACACGTGCGCGGGCAAAGAATTCCACTTTCGAATAATACGACAAAGAAATGAGTCGCCAAATTTCTTTGTTCGTGAAGGAATAGTGGCCACAGTAAGTCGGTGGCAACGTAGGCCAGCGCGCGTGGTCCTCTGAAGAAAAGGTGATGGAGGGATAAGCGAGAATAGCTCCTCAGAACACTCGCCGTGGTATAGTCGGTAGAATGCGCTTAATGATGCCACATCACGGCGTAATTGTAGAGACTCGAGTTTCTTAGTTACCTCTTCATCGCCAATGATGCGGGCAGCGCGCCGCTGCAACCTATCCAAGGCATCGAGTAAGTACTTAGCGGAGTCATCCCAGAGGTGCGAGCAATATTCCATGCAGGACCGCACTTGCCGCACTTGCAAGGTGGAGACCATGATGATGTTTTAGGCAACCAACACAACAAGATGTTCGGTTCGATGCCAGATCGCGGTCAGCTTGTTCAGTACCTAATAAGTATGTTTTCTCTGTTGTTAGTCTAGCTTTTACGAGTTTTCTTCCACTTCGAAAATGATCTGTTTATAAACAAGGCTTTCGGGAAAAGCGCTAAAATGCGAAGTCAAAAGGGTCGTGTCGTCGCAATATTATAATGCCAGTTTTACATAACAGTGCCCTGTACGACATGAATAAATAAGGTTTAAGTTACAGGAGGCAGCGGGTAAACATGCTTTTAATAATAATTGTTTAAATAATGATGATTATGATGAAAGTCAACAACTTAGTGAACAGGAGGAGGATATGGATTCAGATTGTGGACGATTTATTGATATCATAATGATTAATATATATTTATTAGAGATGGACTGAGTACTCATTTTATGCTCGGTACTTGGCGTAATTTTTATTTTTTTAATTACTAGTACTCGGCCGAATAACTCGGTTCAAATGAAGAGTATACTCTGTTTAAATAAAGTTAAATATTTTGCGAAATATAATGAAAACAAGACTATTTATTAAAAAAGAAGGCTTCTCCATGCGTTCTGGTGACAACCTTTTCCTCTTTTATTCATAGATATTAACCGCTTCTAAAAATGATCCTACTCTCCTCACTCAATGATCTTCTCACTAATGTCAGATGCACATAAAAACACTCCTGCTAAACGTGTCATCTCTACTCGAAAGAACTCTTTATCTTACCACAACAAACATTCTTTGACAACCTCCGTGGCAAATACCTTTGTTATTATATTTTTTAAAGCATGTAACTGCTTGATGTTTAAATCTAAAGAAAATATAACCAGAAAAAAATCCACGCGGACCAGGCAGCAGACGGGACTCGAACCCGCACCCTTCGCAATCCGGGTGAATGCACTGACCAATTATGCTACCGCGGTCTTCATGGACCGCGTGAAATTCCTCTAGCTATTCTTAAGCTGCAAGGCAGCGCCATCTCTTCGCATTATAGGTAACCCACAATGTCAAGTGAATACTTTTACAAGTATTAAACATTTGAAAGAAGAAATAGCAATTATAGTTATATATATATATTTTAAAGCATGTAACTGCTTGATATTTAAATCTAAAGAAAATATAATTAGAAAAAAATCTACGCGGACCAGGCAGCAGACGAGACTCGAACCCGCACCCTTCGCAATCCGGGCGAATGCACTGACCAATTATACCTAAATAAATAAAATACCTTTGTGTTGAGATTCTGCCAATACTGATTTTTTAGCATTTTTGTTTTTTACATGGATTAGATGTGACCTTCTATATTTCTCTACTAAACAAATTTGTATTATTCAATAAAAAATATAGCCCTATCTGTCAAAGTCCCGAATGAGAAATATCAGACACCATAAAATTAAGTTTGTTTTTAATAGACGAACTTTTGTAACTTAGACCACACGTGAATACATCGGCGCCATTTACACCGCAGGCAATATTATAACATCTAAGTTAATAGATCGAATAACGGTCCGTTTTGTGTATGCCCTGCACGCACATAAGCAAATATTTTATAACAATATAGACTCTAAAGTAGAGGTCCAAATATTAATACAAAGTTTTTGGTAATGCGGGAACCCCCATTCACAATAGAAAGGGTTTTATTATAGGAAATAATATTTAATTATACTATTATGACTTTAGCCATTGATTCAATTGATCAATTTAAAATTTCAACGACCTAAGTGGCTCGAGTGTTATGTACCGCGGCGGTTTCAAGGTGTCGCCTACTTATAGGACCCGGGTTAGAGACCCTGTGGGTCAAATGTTTGTGTGATGAATAAGAGCATTGGCACTTAAGTCGTGGATGTGTATAAATGTTAATTAAAAAATAAATTCTATTGAACAATATACTGTGTTGTGAACTATATACTATTTAATTTTGGTAGGAACTTTATTAGATATTTTTATGCGTCAATAAGTTCCTTAATTTTTTTTTCTGTGATAAGATTGTGTCATGTTTATTGATTGCATACCTTCCACAAATAAAGTTTCTAAGGAGTACAATATATAGCGTTCTCTGTCAATGATTATGAAATCTACCTAAGTTACTTTCGCAAAGGCTGGCAAGAAATTTGTTATCTCAAGTTTCATGTCAACACGTTAGCTATTTAGAAGAAACTGAAAGTAGAATCAGTCGTGATAGTAACAGATATTTTTATTTATTTTTAAATACAAATAAGTTATCTGACGTTAAGTAATCATGTTATAAATGAAAAGTTAGTGTACCACTGGACAGTTTCCTCATCCGTTAATTTCACTAATTCACCAGTGTACTCATTAGACAGTTTCTGAATTCGCCAATTCCCTTTTTTGCCATTTCACTAAGTAGTCAATTTCTCTATTAAGTTTGTTTCCTGGCTTGCAAGATTGCTTGTTCGTCAGTAAGTTTAGATGATTGTTTGACTGTTAGTTTGGATGATTATAACAGTATGAGGTATTGTTATAACATTTAAATTCACCATTAGTGCATAGTATTTACAGTTTTACACAGTTGTGACAGTTCGAAATGCAAGCTCGTAAAATTTGGCGACCTGCCGCCGACAAAAAAAGCCTAACAAAACAAGTGAACGAAGAAACTAAAGGATTACGAAAATAGCAAACTGGCAAAATTGTCTACCTAACGTAACTGACGAATAGATAAATCGATCGATTAGCGAAACAGGCACATGACGATACTAGCGGATCGCATTAACGCATACATCAAAAAGTTGTGACAGTTTGAAATGCAAGCTTGTACAATTTTAGGACTTGTCGCCTACGAAAAGCCTAGCAAAACAAGTGAACGAGGAAACTGAAGGATTACGAAAACAGCAAAGTGGCAAAATTGTCTACCTAGCGTAACTGACGAATAGATAAATCGATCGATTAGCGAAAAAGGCAAATGACGATACTAGCGGATCGCAATACTGCCAATTTCATGGAACTGACATCCTAGCTTAACTAGCGAAGGTGGAAACTGAAGCATCAGGAAAATGCCTTACTAGAGAATTTGTGAACCTACCGAAATTGTCTTGATTAAACTGGCGTATTAGCGAAATTGAAGAATAATTCACCAGTGGTACGCTGTCTCTTAATTCTGATAATTGCCATGAAAAACTTTATTCGAGATTAAAGTAATATAAGTTATTTAGGGGATTGTTACCATGTACCTTGTTTTTAGCGAGATTCCCATATTTCGGCACTGTTGCAAACGCCATGCTCACGGAGTAACTGAAGTT